CCCTGTCCTCCTGGGATGCCGCAGTCACCCTCCGGCCGGGCTGTCAGCCGTCTGGAGCTGCGGGGCCTCGCGCGCGCGCGCTCTGACCCGAGCCCGGCGGAGGTGCAGGTGGGATCTGGGGGCGTCATCCTTGCCGGTGGCGGGGCACGCAGCTCCCCCACCGGGTCGGGATGCTCAGGGGCGCCCTGGGGCGGGGGTTGGGGAGGAGGGCTGGTGGTCTGGTGCCTGCGACCTTGGCCAAGTCTCTGATCCCCCTCCCCCTCGGGAAACTGGGGAAATGTCTACTATTTTTGGACAGGGATGTTGTCAGGCCTGTAGAGCTGGTGCCCAGGGCGCATCTGCGGAAAATTGGGCGGCATACTGTCCTTTGCTGATGTGTCGTAGCAACCAACCCCTTCCTCATCCATCCTCGGGCCTCCCCCCACCCCCGATTTTCTGCACTCTTCAGTGTCTTGTCATTGCACAAGGCAGTACCCAGCAAAGCCAGAGTGGGTTCTCCACCTCCTCCACCACTATCCTTCACGCACGCACACACACACACACACACACCTCACCTGTCATAATTTCCTGTGTTTTAAAGTTGTCTCTGGGATTTTGGCGTAGATGACACTTTCTGACCCTTCTCTGGCTATTTTTGATGAGACCTGCTTTGGTTACTCTCTCTCTTCTCTTAGTCATTGCATTTTATTTACTTATTTATTTTTGTGCCAGTACTGAGGCTTGAACTGAAGCACCTGGGCATGCTGTCCATGCTGTCCGTTAGCTTTCTTTGCTCAAAGCTAGTGCTCTACTGCTTGAGTCACTTCTGGATTTTTCTTTTTCTGGTTAATTGGAGATATGAGTCTCGTGGACTTTTCCTGCTTGGTCTTCAAACCAGGATCTTTAGGTTTCAGTCTCCTGAGTAGCTAGGATTATAGGGTGCCACCAGCATCCTGTAATTTCATTTTTTTAGTATCATTTTCCTCGTACTTACTCTGCTTTGAAACTCTTCTATTTGTCTGCCTGTTTATTTTCTGTAGCTTTATGAAAACAGGTAGTTGTCTGATTGGTGCCCTGCTTTCTCCCCTTAGGAAGTAAACAGTAAGTATTCAGTAGTAGCAGTTCAGTGAATGATCTAAAGAACCTTCCTACCCGCCTGCTGTTTCTGCTTTCACTTTTATGTTAGTGACTTCTAACTTGTGAAACTTGTAAGCAGATGGAAGCTTATTCTCATTTTGTGAAATATGTTAATGTCCTTGACCCCTTTACTTAGTAACTGTCAGAACAAGCTGTGATAAAAATTTTACATTTTTACAAGAGCTCACTCCTACTTCTTTCCCACATTCAGGAGACATCAGCTGAATTCTGCATTTATCTAGGTCACGCTTTCTGCTGGGCCCCAGGGACAAGAAGGAGATAGCAACAGGGTCCCTTCCCCCAGAGATCCCAGGAGCCCAGTGGAGAAGGCATGCAGACAGTTACAGGATAAGGTATGACACTGGGGGTAGTGGAGGGCCCATTGGGTGGAAATGTGGAGTAGAGGACAGGCAGTGCTGGTGGGCCTTAAATGGTGACCAGTAATTTGGCAAACAGGGAGAGGCACAGAGAGGTGAAAGGGCAAAGCTAATGAAGGACCTCAGTGTGGGGTGAAGCCCTTGGAACCCGGCAGTTGTGGACTGATGGGAATCTTGGAGAATCAGAATTTCACTCAACAATTTTCTAAAAGACATCACAACTCCCAGTTTGTATCTGGACTTCTCTGATTTTAAATGTTGACAAGAGATAATTAAAACTTTTCGAAGCTCCCCTAAGCCAAATGCAGACTTCACTGGGCTTGGTGCAGGATTGTTGACCTCTAGGACATGCAGTGTAGGAGGGTATTAGGAGGAGCTGGAAAAGTAGCCTAGGGCCTGGGTACCAGCCTAGGTACTCATTTGCTTGTTGCTGGAGCCCTGTGAGTAACTGCTTGATGTACAGAGGAAGAAACAGACTCACAGTATCTTAGCAGTCTGCTTCATATCTAGCAGCTGGTGAGTGGAATTTGAACCCAGATGTCCCCCAGGTCAGCATTCTTGCCTGGATCCTCAGCTCTCAGTATTCTTGTCTGACTTTTAATTTATTCTGGGAGAACAGCAGCTAATCTATTTAACATTTTCCTCCACTTAGTATTTTTATTTTCTTTTCAGAAGACTCCTGTTGGGTTAAAAAATTTTTTTTACATAGTCTCTAGAGAGCTTTGATTTTTTTCTGAGAATTTTATTCTCAAGGCATTAGGACTTTATAATTTGTTGACAGATTAAGATGTGTTTACTTAAGTGTTCGAGGATTCACTTGGATTTGTTGAAAATCTTAATTTTCCAAAAAGAAGAAAATTTCAAAGCAATTAATAGTAAGTAAACCAATTGTTTTCATGCTGTACAAGATAAAACAAACCTGATGTTTTTCTTAAGACCTGATTTGGCAGTAGGTTATTTTTTGTTACCTTTCACACTTGATTTGGATGGTGCCAATTTACATAATTCCTTTCAGAAAAATTAATTCTTAGTAATTCACTTGGCTTTGTATGAATTAATTCCAACATCAGTCTTTTATTTGTTTAACATAGGAACTTTCTGAAATATTCCCAAAAAGTTGAATAGTATCCAGTTTGAACAATTATTATTTTTTTTTTTTTTGGTTGGTCGTGGGGCTTGAACTCTGGGCCTGGGCGCTGTTCCTCAGCTCTTCAGCTCAAGGCGAGCGCTCTACCACTTAACCCTTGGATAATCTTGTCTCATCTCTAACTCTACTCACTTTACTCACACTTTCTCTTCTTGTATTATTTTCAAGCAAATTCTACTATGTGATTTTATTCATGCATTATTCAGTATATCTACATATGTATAATATATTTATACACTAACAATAGCTAATTAAAACTTTTAGAAGCCAGGTACTAGTGGCTCATGCCTGTAATCCTAGCTACCCAGCAGGCTGATATCTGAGGATCGAGGTTCCAAGCCAGTCCAGGCAGGAAAGTCCATGAGACTCTTATCTCCAGTTAACGACCTGGAAACCAGAAGTAGCACTGTGGTTCAAATAGTAGAGCACTATCCTTGAGCTAAAGAGCTCAGGGACAGTGCCCAGGCCCAGAGTTCAAGCCTCATGACTGACCCCCCCCAAAAAAAATTTAGAAGTTTATACATTATACATATGTATATATACATATTAAATTTGTAGAGGCAATAGCTTCTGAATGTCATCAAATGAGGAGTCAGTATCAAATTTTCACTTGTTTTATGAAATTTAGTTTCTTTATTTTGGTTGTTTTTGTTTGGTTGTTTTTTGTCAGTTTTGGGGCTTGAACTCTGGGTGGGCCTGGGTGCTGTCCCTCAGCTCTTCAGCTCAAGGCTAGCGTTCTACTTGAGCCACCGCACCACTTCCCGGTTTGTGGTGGCTTATTGAAGATAAGAGTCTCACAGATTTTCCTGCCCAGGCTCACTTTGAACTGTGATCCTCAGATCTCAGCCTTCTGAGTAGCTAGGATTCCAGGCCACCGGTGCCAGCTTCTTTAGTTATTTGAAGGTATAGAGCCACATAAGGATTCATTTGTTGTGATTGGCTTATCTGTCAGTTCACTTTCTCTTAATGTCTTGTATTTCTTTGTTTCCTTGTGGTTTATTTGTTGAAGGAATTGGGTTGTTCTGTAGCATTTTCCTAGTTGGGATTTACTGATTCTATCTCTGCATAGTAAGTTAATGTTTTTATTCTCTGCATTTCTCAAAAACTAGTAATTGGATATAGACATAGCTTGGTCAGATTCAGGATGTCCTTGTGTCAAGACCCTTCTCAGATGGGCTGCACTCTCCTCTTTGGAGACTCCCTGAGATTCTGTGTTCATCTCTGTTTTACAAATGAAAATAGTCACCTAAGACCACCCAGATCAGTGGCTGGCCCTCTGGGACTTCCACCCCAGGGTCCAGATTTTAACCACTGCTCCACACTGCTGTATCACATTTATTCTCCTACTTAGTTTTGCCTTCAGCAAACACTGAATTACTAATTACTATGTGATTAGTAGAGGATTGAGAAATAAGTCAGACATGTTGTTGGCCCTTAAGAAGCTCAGAACAGAGTGAAGGTAGGCTTACCATGCAAAATAAATAACAAGAATACAGGTCCAAATGACCAAATGATCCCTGAAAAACAGGGGTCATTCCCAGCACAGGCTAAAGAGCATGAAGGGAAATCTGCAAGAGAAACAAATGCTTGAACTAAATTTTGAAGGAGGCTGAAGGTTGGTGGAAGTCATTTCAGCTAGATGGAACTGCTTGGGCAGAAGCCTGCAGGTGTGTAAAGACATGGTATGTCTGCTGTCCCAGGTGGTATGAAGAGCCTAGAGAACCCTCTATCTACTATGTTGTACTAAGGATTTGAACCTTACTGTCAGAGTCACTGTCAAAGGAATTAAACTAAGAGATGGTATCATTGCAGCGTATTTTTTAAACCTATCTTTAAAAAAATTTCTTATCATGCAAAATTATACATCTACAAGAAGTTGTAAAATCCCACTTACCTTTCACCCAATCATCTAACAATTGCATATTTATGTAACTATAGGACAGTGTGAAAACCAGGAAATTGGCATTGGCCCAGTGTGTGTACAGTTCCCTGACATTTTATCACAGAGATTCATATGACCACCACCACCACAATCAAGATCCAGAGCTACTTGTCAGCCCAAAGATATCTCTGTGTGTTATCCCATCATATCCACTGAACCTACCTTGCCTACCTACCATTTGTAATTCCTGGAATTACTAATCTGTTCTGCATCTCTATAATCTTGTCGTTTCAAGAATATATATGAAGTTACATAGCATGTCACCTCTTGAGATGGGATTTTTTTTTTCCCCTCAGAATCCTCACAGGAGTCCCTCCTTCCCCCCCCCACTTCCATGGATTCTAAAATCCATATATATGCCAGGTGTGAGTAGCTCACACCTGAAATTCTAGTTACTCAGAAGGCTGAGGTTTCAGGATCACAGTTCAAAGCCAGCCCAGGCAAGAAAGTTTATAAGACTTTTATCTCCAATTTACTAGCAAAAAAAAAATCAGGAAGGAAGGCTGTGGCTCAAGTGGTAGAGCACTAGCCTTGAGCACAAAAGTTTAGGGACAGTGCCCAGACCCTGAGTTCAAGCCCCAGGACAGTACAAAAGAAAAAAAAAATCCATGGATGTTCAAATCCCCTATATAAAATGAAACAGTATAATCTGTACAACCCCCTTCCATGCACTTTAAGTCACCCCTAGGATGCATTTTAATACTTAGTACAATATAAATACTACATAGTAATCACTTTGTTATACAGGTAGGGAAAAATGACAAGCAAAAGGTCTGTACTGCATATGTTCAATTAAAGATGCAGTTTTCCCCAAATGCTTTCTTTTTAGTTATTTTAATTAATATATAACAGCATAAAAATTATGCATATCAAGTATCAAATGTTTGATACAGGTATATGTTGTATAATGTTTAAGCCAGGTCAAACATTTCCCAGAATTTATCATTTCTCTATGGTGGAAGGTTTTTAAATCTTCTTTTTGAAATGTGTAGTGTATTATTGATCTCCTTTGCTACTCTACTGTGCAATAACACTCCAGAATTTCTTGTTCCTATTTACTAACTTTAAGTTTCTCTAACTTAGTATCAACTGATCTTTCTGAATATTTTCTGTTTATGGTGGCTCACACCTGTAATCCTAGTGACTCAAGAGGCTGAGATCTGAGGATTGTGGTTCAAAGCCAACCTGGGCAGGAAAGTCCAAGAGACTCTTATGTCCAGTTAAACACCAGAAAACTGGAAGTGGCGCTGTGGCTCAAGTGGTAGAGTGCTTGCCTTGAGTGCTGAAGCACTCAGGGACAGTGCCTGAGGCCCAGAGTCCAACCCCCACAACTGATTAAAAGAAAGAAAAGTGCATAACTAACCAAGTACAGTGTGGCTCATGCTTGTAATCCTATTCTAGGCTAAGATCAGGAGGATTGGAATTTAAGGCAAAAAGTTTGCAAGATATCCATCAACCAATAAAAATGCTTGGAATTTAAGGCAAAAAGTTTGCAAGATATCCATCAACCAATAAAAATGCTAAGTGAGGTGGTGCACACCTGCTAACTCAACTATTCAGGAAGTGTAAATTGGAGGATTGAAGACAGTGTTGGCCCAGACAGAAAGCAAGACCCTAAGGTCCTAACAAAGCTTAAACCATAATACCACCAATAAGAATTTGCAGAACCCACAAATATGGAAGGCTAATTGTTATGCCCTTGAGATCCATACAGTTACTGTGTGGATCAGTTCTTTTCAGTATTGGGAAGTATTCAGTAGTTCAGCTAGGCCACCACTGAACTGTTTGTTTGCCAATTGAGGTCATTTGAGTTGAGTCCAATTTTGATCTGTTAGAAATAAAGCTGCTCTGAACACTTGAGCATAGGTGCTCATGTGGATAGATCTCTCTTTTTAAAGTGTGTGCTCAGTAGTTTGGAAGTTAGCAAGAATGGAGGCTAGAATGGCTTTTCCGAGCTGCCAGGCCCAGGGAGCCACATGTGTGGGATCTCTTGTGGTTTTTGCCTTTTGCTTTTGTTATGGCCCTTCCCTCACTGTAACTTTTTTATTCCTCACACCTACCCAAACAGTGTTACATGCTACTTCAAGAGTGGTTCCAATGTATTCATGGAGTATCCTCTCTAATACTATCACTTTCATGAACAGAGGCAATCCCTAAATATTGAGTTGAATTGGTTTAGCCTCTTGCAAACTATAAATAAGTAATCTTTTTTCCCATGTAATATTTATCTTTAATTATCTTAAGTCTTATGGCCACATAATTTACAAATTACCCCTCTACCTGAAACCTTTTCTCTTAAGAAGTTGGCAAAAAGCACCACTATCAATCACACACACAGTAGTTCCACAATTTTGTGTTTTTGAACAGCTGCATGAAGAAAATCCTGAATTATAACTTTGTCTTAGTAAAGAATTAAAAAATAGGGCTGGGAAGGTGGCTCGCCTTGAAACCATGAGGCCCTGGGTTCGATTCCTCAGCACCACATAAGCAAAAAGAAAAAAGCCGGAAGTGGCACTGTGGCTCAATTGGTAGAGCGCTAGCCTTGAGCTGAAGAGCTAAGGGACAGCGCCCAGGCCCAGAGTTCAGGCCCCACGACCAGACCCCCCCCAAAAAAAAAGAATTAAAAAATAAAGTCCGTATTGTATCTGTCACAGTCACTTTTAAAAGCATCTATACTTATAGACCAACTATAAAATGTGACAAGTATTAAATATTCATTTGACATTTATACATAAGCCACACTAAAATGCCTTTGAATAAGTAAAAGGCAGATTTCAGAGAAAGGGAATCCTAATTAAATTGGCATAGTCAAGACCAAAAATATAGACATTGTTCCTCATCTTCAGCCATTGCCTTTAACAGGTTAATTTTGCTTGATTCTGAGACAGTAAAGATGTTCTCATAATTAGCTATATAAATCTGAATATAAAACCAATCTTTAACAGATTTGGAGATGGTATTATTCCCTATCTTTCTGAAAAATTGAACATTAGTAAGTCCAATCATATGACAGAAAGGGGGAAAAAGTGACAGTATTTTTTTAAAATCATGTTTACTTAGCCATAAACCTGGCTAAATCAGGACTTAAATCAGGCTTAAATCAGAACTGCCCAAAAATATTCCGCCAGCCATACATGATCTGAAATCTGATATTAGAGATCAATTGAATTATGGTACACAGTAAAAAGCCATGAGACATTTGTTTTGCAATAAATAAGGCAGTGGCTATTACTGATTTGTAGCTTTTTTGAGATACGCCATCAAATCTGCCCATTCTCTCTTAATGCCAGCGAAGATCATTTTTGTTCCAGGGATGTACTTTTGGGGATTCTCCAAATACTCCATCAGTGTATCCTCTCCCCAGGTGATGTCTTTGTTCTTGTTGGCATCTGTGTAAGTGAATCCAGCTGCTTGACCAGTCTTCCCACCAGACAGACGGTGGAGATTAGGCCCAGTCTGTGCTTGCCTCCCTTTTCAACGGTGTGGCAGTGAGCAGACTTCTGAACAAAAATCTTCTTGCCTTTCTTAACATCACTCATTTTCTATTCGCTCTTTCCTGGCTATCACAAGAAGGATAACAGCTCCGAAGCCAGACGTCCCACGCCATCTGTAATCTTTTATTTATTTATTTATTTTAAAGATACCCTTTCAGGGCTGGGAATGTGGCTTAGTGGTACAGTGCTTGCCTAGCATGCATGAAGCTCTGGGTTCGATTCCTCAGTACCACATATACAGAAAAAGCTGGCAGTGGTGCTGTGGCTCAAGTGGTAGAGTGCTAGCCTTGAGCAAAAGAAGCTCAGGACAGTGTCCAGACCCTGAGTTCAAGCCCCAGGTTTGGCGCGCGCGTGTGCGCGTGCGCATGCACACGTGTGCGCGTGCGCACGCGCACACACACACACACACACACACACACACCCTTTCAGATGTCACTAGAATGTCTCAGCATTGTGGGGAATGTTGGGAGTGTGGGTCAGATCACACACACACACACACACACACACACTTTCAGATGTCACTAGAATGTCCCAGCATTGAGTGTGGGTCAGATCACACACACACACACACCCTTTCAGATGTCACTAGAATGTCCCAGCATTGTGGGGAATGTTGGGAGTGTGGGTCAGATCAGTGTCCCAGAAACCAGGCCTCCCTGTCCTGTCCTTGGACTGAGAGATGCTATGCTGAGTGAGAATGATCTGTGCCCATCCTCCTGGAGCTTAGGCTACAATGGCCTGGGGCAACTTCTGAGGCCTTCCTCATTATCAGGATGGCCTCAGCCAGTGTTCTAGCTCCTTGAAGCCTTGGATTGCTCCAGCATGAGTTGTGACTGCCCATCCTGCTGTGGGGGTTGGTGTGTGCAGTCCTGTTTGTTTGGCATCTGGTACAGTTCTTCCCTGGGGGCACTTCCTGGCCAGGTGTGCCAATGGCTCTCATCAGGAATGACTGGTTAAACTAACCCAAGGGGAAAAAAAAAAGTGGCACAATGGACAATTGAAGAAACTACTCATTTGACTAAAAGTCTTTGTTTAGGCTGTTACTAACTTGTTTCTATGTTTAAAAGACATGTTGGGCATCATTGTGTCAAAACATAAATCATCATTACAGAAAAGTTAATCTGGTAGGCATTCATTATTAGGTGGTAGAACAAAGTCAGGATGTGATGGCGCTGTAAAAAAATTTTAATTCTGTGTTTTTAAACACTGTGAATATTTACCTGCATGATTCCATTGTTGGCTTTTAAGTTTTTTATTAAAAAAAAACAACAGCTTGCTAGACTTTCAGTAAACCTTGCTGGACAACAACCAGGGGACCAAGTAAATATTTGCTTGTTTTCTTTCTTTCATCTAGACTCTTGTTTTTGAGTGGGAATCAGCCTGTTGCCTAAACTACAGAAAAACTGCTTTCCGCCACTACTCCTTTATACTCACATTTGTGAATAAGCTTTCTAGCATCTTTTACTATAGAATAGAGCAGAGCGTATGGATAAGAGGGGCTGCAGGCCAGTTTCAGCCTACTCTCATGAATAGGGCCCATTCAGGGTATGCTGAGCACACACCAATGTCACCAGTCTTGTAACTGCCCTTCACTTTGGCTTATGAAACTTGCTTTCAGATTCATCACTTTAACCTGAATCTTTAGACTTAGCGGAAATCTTCAAGGCCTCTAGAAGAGGTCATTCTGAAATAATACCCCATCCCTGCTTAAGCTGTCTATAAACTAGTCCCACAGGAAACAAACTGATGAGAAGCATTTACCGACGTAATAGTCTCAGCATGGCTAGTAATAATATGTGAATTATTTTCTCCGAAGGGGGTTATTTTCTAATCTAAAATTCCTAAAATATGGTCTAGCAGGAGGACCTTAGGATTCTTTCCTTTAATAATAGTCTTGAGCCACTGAAATGGCTTGGGGCTTTTGGGAGTCTTTGAGGCCTCGCTTAAGTTCAGAACTCGATCAGACTTAGAGCCACATTGTCTTACATTCCAATGAACCTGAAATACTGTTTGGTGAACTGTATATGTATAATTCAGTAAGGATGTGTGTTCCTTCTGTTTCTCATCTAAGGAACTTGACAACATACTGGCTCCCGGAATACTGTATGACACTACATCATGAGTGACAGTAAATGTGACAGTCAGTTTTACAGCGTGCAGGTGGCAGACTCAACTTTCACTGTCCTGAAACGTTACCAGCAATTGAAACCAATTGGCTCTGGAGCCCAAGGAATTGTTTGGTAAGTATAGGCTATTTCATTACTGTGGATTGAATTTTTACTGTAAGAAAAAGTAAAACTAAATCATTGAAAACTTAGAAAAAAATAAATTAAAGCTAACTGAATCAAGTCTTGCTATAGTTATATGTAGTCAGGTGATAGGATACACATCCAAATCCTTAGAATGCTTCATAAACTTAAATAGGTAGCAATTTTCTTTTGCTTTTTTTTTCTTTTCTTTTCAGTTTTTTTTTGTTGTTATTCATTTGCCCTGTCATTATGATAGCAGAGTACTAGGTATGACAGTGAGGTATAACAGAAATTTGGAGTTTTATTCATTTCTTCATCATGGCCACCTTTTCCTCCCCTCCCCCTTTTATTCCCAATCACTCCTATTCATTTCTAGGCGCCATCATTGCCGTGCCTTGCCATTCATTGGCAGGATGAGGCCAGTCAGTGTCATTATCACACCATGGATTAACCAGGAAGGGATGCTGTGTGAGGGGTTGGGCTGGCCGTCTCTTCCTTGGTGTCTCTCTTCAACTATGTGTCCAGCCCAGGACGTCAGAACCGTTGGTCTGACCCTGAACCTTAGTCTCTTGCATGGTAAGACAGTCAGCTGCTGCAACATCACTGCCAGCTAAAGGTAAAGTTTTCACCTGTTTTCTAGACTACAGTTACCAGCTCTTCTCAAGCATTTTATCCCTAATTTTTCTCAGTGATTTTTTTTTCTTTTTAGTCAATAAAAACAGGATTCTCGGGCTGGGAAGGTGGCTCAGTGGTAGAGCGCTTGCCTTGCATGCCTGAGGCCCTGGGTTCGATTCCCCAGCACCACATAAACAAAAAGAAAAAAAAAGCCGGAAGTGGGGCTATGGCTCAAGTGGTAGAGCGCTCGCCTTGAGCTGAAGAGCTGAGGGACAGCGCCCAGGCCCAGAGTTCAGGCCCCACGACCGGACCCCCCAAAAAAAACAAAACAGGATTCTCTTTATCTCTAAAAGAACCTGTAATAAAGCCAAGAATCTGTTTATAGCTAGTAGGCAGAGAAGGTTGAAGGTATAAGTACATTATTGGGTGTTGTGGCTGTGGGTTATGTGTGCGTGTAAAGAGGCTGAATTTAGAGAATCTTAATCAGTGGGTTTTTTTTTATGTAATCCTAAAATTACAGAATTTATGAAATTCAGTTTTATCCTCTGTTGCAGAGGCATATGATTGAGAAGTTTACAATTCACTCACCTAGCGAGTGAGAAGTGATTGGAAAGAAAACCCAGTTTTTATCCAAAATAGTGATAGTCTTAACTTCCAAATGATAGCATGCTAACTTGGTACAGGCAGAATATCCCTTATCTGAAATGCTTGGGGACAAAAATATTTCTGGGTTTCTGATTTTTATTTTAATTTTTAGATTTTGGAATATTTTATAGACATTACTGATGGAGCATCCCTAATCCAAAAGTTCTGTCAGTGCTCAGAAAGTTTCAGATCTTGAAGCAGTACAGATTTTGAATTTATTGTACATAAATCCCTTGCACCAAGTTAAAATTTAAAGTCAGTCGATGGTCCAGATTTGGAAACTTTGATGTTAATAAAGATTTTGAATGATAAAACATTCTTTTGATTTATAATCTCTTTCTTAGATGGTAACTTAGCACACATAATTTGATGAGAGAGACAGAGCCAGAAAGAGAAAAAGACAGAGGTGAAGAAAGGAGGGAAGAGGAAGGGAAGAAGAAATGAGAAGTAACAATATCAGTGGTCTGGAGGAATTCATTTTATAGCTGTAGATAGGCTGCCATTTTAAATATGGGCTTCCTTTATCCTAATTGGCCATTCACTTGTTTTTGAAGATTAGAAGTAATATAAATGGTGAATATTACCCAATTACTGCGAACTCTGCTGTAATCCTCACTGTATTAATGGTACTGTTAAGAACTCAGCCTCATTGGACTTCTCCCTATCTCACAGGGTGTTAGGTTCCATCTATTGGTCTCTGGAGACCTTACTGCTTTTCCTGAGGTAAAGCTTGTCTATGCCTTTGAACTATTGATCATTTTTGGTATGATCAGGACTCTAGGCTAATTTCTATTTAAAAATCTTAGCAATAATGAGTAATTAAGTATTTATTAAGTGCCTTATTTGAATGTCTCAATTCACTGTATTTATTTTGATAGAACAACTATGACATTTAAGAAATGTTTTAATTTTTTAGCTATAATTGACCTTCAGTTTCATGGTATCCTCCTAGCTTAGGTTCTCACTTGGGAAAGTAAACACTTTAGACGTGGTTTTGTCTTCTTGTTCCCTTGTTTTCTTTTGTATCCATCCTGTCTAATCTGCTAATGGCATATTCCTGTTTAAGTAAAACAAAGAGTACTTTTGCTAAAAGAAACTTAGCAATAGGTTAGCTACTACCTCAACAATAGGAATTGGATTTTTTGTAATTGCTTATTAAAATATTACCATTTTATTATTAATTGACTTTACTTTTTATTCTTTAAAAATCATCCATCAGTGAGTCTCTAGGAGAGCGTAATGGACCAAAACAGTGTATGGGCGTCCATATCCTAATTCTTGGATGCTGTGAATGTTACATGACAAAAGAAAATTTGTGGGTTTAATTAAATTAATGATCTGGGGGGAGGGGAAGGCTACCCAGCACAGTGGGTGCAACATCACTGAGAAAGTGTTCTTACAGAAAGAAGACCAGAGGTTCATGGTAAGAGCAGGAAGTGTGATAACAGAGAGTGTGGAGTGATACAGAGCCAGGAGTGAAGCCTCAAAACCAGAAAGGACAGGGGAATAGATTCTCCTCCTAGACCCTCCAGGAGTGGTATAGTTCCGCCAGCCTCTTGGTTTTAGCCCCATAGTATCCATAGACTTCTTCATCCTGAACTGTAAGATGATATTTTCTGCTCAGCATCCCATTGAAGACTAAAGTCAAGATGTTAGCTGGGCTAGACTTTTCTTTGGAGCCTCTGGGGAAAAATCTGTTCCCAAGCTCCTTGAGGTTTTTGGTAGAATCTAATTCCTCACAGGTCTAGTTCTGAGATTCCCAAATCCAGTATTCTTTTTCACTCATAATTATCTTTTCCTAGAAGCTACTGGGGAAGAGTGGAGGAAAGAGGTGGTTAAAAATTCGTGTTTAGAGGCTGGGAATGTGGCTTAGTGGGAGAATGCATGAAGACCTGGGTTCAATTCCTCCATATCACATACACAGAAAAGACCAGAAGTGGCACTGTGACTCAAGTGGTAGAGTGCTAGTCTTGAGCAAAAGAAGCTCAGGGACAGTGCCCAGACCCTGAATTCAAGCCCCAGGACTGGCAAAACAAAATAAAATAAACCTGTTCGGCTGGTCAAGGCAAGGAAGTGATTATCAGACAAGTTAGAGCTGTAGGTATGGCTCGAGTGGTAGAGTGCCAGCCAACCTAGCAAGCCAAGCAAGTGTGAGGATCTGAGTTTAAACCCAAGTACTAGTAAAATTTAAGAAATGGTAATAGTCAGAAGTAGTTATTACCTTTGGTGAACAGGAGGGATAGTAATTGGAAGGGGTCTCAAGGGACTTTTCAGACACCGACAGACATGACTGTGATAAGTCATTGAGCTGAGGAGCCCAAAGCAAAGGAATGGCTGACTTATAATCCTAGCAGCTTGGGAAATTGACACCTGAGAATCTCAGTTTGCAGCCAGCTCAGGCAGCAGACAAATCAGGAGACTCTTATCTCCAGTTAACCAGCAAAAGCTGCTAGTTAAGGCATGGCTCAAGTAGTAGAGCACCAGCCTTGAGTGACAAAGTTGAATGAAAGTGAAAACCCTGAATTCAAGCCCCAGTACCAGCACAAAAAAAAAGAAAGAAAAGACAGGAAAGAAAGAAAGAAAAAAGACATGCTGAAATCCAGCAAAGTAATGGACTTAAAAGTTTTGTGAGAAAATTGATTTTTAGTTCCAACTATCAAGGATGATGGCAGAGTATGATCATTTATCTTCCATGTGCTTTTTCAGGGGTGGGGGTAGCAAATAGTTCTTAAAGATGTATTCCAACAAGGAAGACCAAACAAGAACATATAATAAAAGACACAGTGAAGGCCTGTGAAAGAAATCCTAGGGATTAGAGCAGGCTTATATAGTGTCAGGCTGCAGACCCTCCAAGAAAATGTCCCCAGACAGAAGAGATTCTAAACAATAAATACTATGAGCAAGAAATTAACAAGTACTGATGGTAACACTTCAAAAGAGGCATTTTTCTTCTCTAATAATAAGAAAAAGTTTATTAGAAACTTGTGGTGGGGTAAGATAGAAAAAGCCATGATCTAAATATGAAAGAAGTTTCAAAGGACCTAATGTTTTAGTGACTGATAGAATGTAAGAAAATAAAGCCCATTTCTCCTTGATTCTAGAAACCATTTTTTGGTGTGAGTGGTCTTTGGAAAATGAAAGCATATATGTGTATGTATACATATATATATATGTATATATACATGCAATATTATGGTGTTCAATTTTTAGACACATCCTAAAGAACACAAGAGACTTAATATGTACATAAGAAACATGTGTTGGCAAGCTTCACCATTTAAGCCACAAGTTTAGAGGAAATGAGAGAATAAAGAGAAAGAACAGGGATAGAATATACTGGTCTCACTTTACCTACTGTGGGGGTGGGTCAAGAGATTCCTTTGAAAGTTGGTGGAGTAAGTTTAGGCATGCTATTTAAAGTTACAAAGGAAAACCTAAAAATAACACAAGAACAAAACTGGCAAGCATGGGGGAATCTCAAATAAGTAGTTTAATTCTCTTACTATGGAATAAGTAGATAAATGAATAAAATCAGGATAAAATATATGCTTTTTGGTTTAAGAGAGATTACAAAGTGACCATGAATAATTGGTCATTGCTTTTGAAGTTGGAACTAGGAGTTAGAGAAGCCTGTGTCTATTCAGATGCATAGAATTGGACCCTTTGAATCATTTTTATAACTTTTTAAAGAATAGAAAGTACATGTTTTTATCATGTACATGTTTAAAACATGTATATGTAGTAGAATAAATTGATCTAATTTACATGCGTACTACCTCACAAACATGTTTTCTGTGGTGAGAACACTTAAAATCTGTTGTTGAGCAGTTTTTGAGAAAACAATACATTGTTTTTAACTATGGATACTGTATTAAATAGTTGAGCTCTTGAACTTACCCATAACTCCTGTGTAACTGAAACTTTGACCAGAAAAATGTATGGGTTTTTGAGACCAGAAAAATATATGTTTTCAGATTCTTGAGTCGGAGAAGCAAATACACATGTGTATTGTACACAAGTTATTTATTTTCCAAGTTGATTTTCCATCTACAGATGGCTAAGGAATTTACATATGTGTAAATGTACATATGAACTGAATTAAAATGATGTTTCTAATAATCCTTAACCAAATGCTACAATAAACAACCTTCAACTTAAAATAGATTTAGTTAAATTAGGAGTTGTTTGGCCCTGAAGCATTATTAACAGAAAAGAGCAAGTATACACAGTGTTATAAATTAATAAAATAAATACACAGAAGCAGTTTAAAAGCTCCACCTAGTGTCTCACATGGTCTTTGGTACCTTTGAACTCCTGATGAGTAGTCAAAGGAAATAACACTAAGCTATTTAGTGCTAATTTGGAACTTGAATGGTGGTAGTTAGGCAACTATTTTCCATGCTTAATTTCTGGAGGGAAATGAACACTAAATCTCAGAGAACTTGGGATGCAGGAAACACAGGCTGTAGGTTCTATTCTTACTAGTGGGAAGAGGTATTTCCAGCAGCATTTTATATATAGCTATTGCTTACATCAGAGATTTTTTTGTATCTTGGGTATTTACCATGAGATTTTTGGCTTATGTTTTCTTTTTAGATTCTTTTGTCTGGGAAAAACACAATCAATCAAAACTTAGATTTCTTGCATTCTTTCCATGAGTTTAACTTTTTACTTTGTTACTCTGATAATTCCAAAATGTACTTACATGTAATCAGTGATAATTATTTTTTAAATTTTATTGTTAAGTACTATAGTTGTGCAAAGAGGTTATAATTCTGTAAGTCAAGTTACAATTATTGTTCATTATCTTGACCTATTTGAACTGAGGATTTAATTTCTTGGCCTTACATTCTCTGTATTAAACTACCTGGCTCTGCTTAAATTACCTAGCTCTGCTGGGTGTCAGTGGCTCACACCTATAATCCTAGCTACTCAAGAGGCTGAGCATCACAACTTGGAGCCAGTCTAGGCCAGCAAAAGCCAGAACTGAGGGCATGGCTCAAGTGATGATACCCCAGCTGTAAGCCAAGCACAAGGCTGGAAAGGGAAGACTTATATGTCAAATTAATGAGAAAGAAACCAGAAGTAGAACTGTGAATCAAGTGGTAGAGCACTCGACAGCACCCAGCCCAAGCCCCAGAACTGGTCCGTGGGCACACACATACACACACACACATACCCCAAAATAAAAAAGAAAATATTACCTGGTTTTGAACATAGTAATCTTAAAATAATTTCATCTTCTCAAGTGAAAATTCCATGTGCAAAGAATTGTGGAATGCCACCCAAACTGTGGATGAAAGGTCACCCCTGCATCTGCAGAGGACTAAATTGCTTCTGCAGTCCTAGCCAGCTCCTATTCACTCCTCTTCATATGCACTTCTACCGTGATGGGAAACAAGCAGAACATCTTTCCTGATTTGTTCACTCATTTTAAAAGATGATATGTTGAATGTTGTGTTCTCCATTGCTATGTTTATTAAAGCCATCCTAATCAATTATTTACTTCTATTTCCTAATTATAGTGCTGCTTTTGATACAGTTCTTGGAATAAATGTTGCAGTCAAGAAACTAAGCCGTCCTTTTCAGAATCAAACGCATGCAAAGAGAGCTTACCGTGAACTTGTCCTCTTAAAATGTGTCAATCATAAAAATGTAAGTTATGTCTGTGTTTCCTCCATAGGCCTTGATACTCTCAGCCATGTGATAACCTTCAAGTTCTTTGGGAGATGGGCTGAGTTCAGACCTAGGTTAAGACTGGGTACCGGTGACTCACACCTGTAATCCTAGCTAATCAGGGGGGTGAGATCTGAGGATCACGGTTCAAAGCCAGCCCCGGCAGGAAAGTCCGTGAGACTTTTATCTCCAATAAATCACCAGAAAACTGGAAGTGGCGCTGTGGCTCAAGTGGTAGAGCACTAGCCTTGAGCTGAAGAGCTTAGGGATGGTGCCCAGGCCCAGAGTTCAAGCCCCATGACTGACAAAAAACAGAAAAGAAAAAAAACATTTTATCTACCTATAGATTTTGGGGGGGGGGGCGGAGGTGGGGGAGGGTGAGGAGGAGTAAGGGAGTGGGAGGGGGTGGTCCTGGGGCTTGAAATCTGGGCCTGGGCACTGCCGCTCAGCTCTTCCACTCAAGGCTAGCACTACCACTGCATGTCTTACTAGTGATCTTCTGAGTGTTAATTTGATAACCTTTCCCTATGGGGACATCATAAAATGTGAATTTGGAAGAGGTTTGAGAGGTCAACTTAAAACCTTTTTTTTTTGGTCAGTTGTGGGGCTTGAACTCTGGGCCTGGGCACCGTCCCTCAACTCTTCAGCTCAAGGCAAGCACTCTACCACTTGAACCACAGCCCCTCTTCCAGGTTTTCTGAGTGGTTTATTAGAAATAAGAGTCTCATGGACTTTCCTTGCCTGGGCTGGCTTTGATCCCTGATCCTCAAATCTCAACCTACTGAGTAGCCAGGATTATAGGTGTGAGCCATTGGCGCCCAGCTAAAACCTCTTTTATTTTTGTCTTTTTTAAGAATACTTAAGATTAATATTTTAGATATCAATGATATTCAAGATTAAATATTTAAGATTAATATGGAAGATTAGATGTTTTAACTTTTTATGGCTCTTTCTGGTATAGAGATATTAGATATAAAAGTTTGGTTTATTGTTTTGAATCTGTGGTTTGAGTTGGCTTTAGTTTCTCCAATATGTGTTTACATTTTTTGACACTACTAGGGTTTGAACCCAAGCCCTCATGTTTGTTCAGCTTTGTTTATTAGGTGGTACTTTTCCACTTGAATCATACCTCCAAGCCTGGTTTTGTGTGTGTGTGTGTGTGTGTGTGTGTGTGTGTGTGTGTGTGTTGGTCCTGGGGCTTGAACTCAGGACCTGGGGACTATCCCTGAGGTGTGTATGTCCCAGTCCTGGGGCTTGAACTCAGGACCTCGGTCCTGTCCCTGAGGTGTTTAATTTTATGTTTTTCTCATATCTATTGCTCTACCACTTGAGTCACAGCTTCACTTAATATTTTTTAAAAAAAATAATTAATTAGAGATAAGAGTGTCATGGATTTTTCCTGCCTGGACTGGCTTTGAATCACAATCCTCAGATCTCTGCCTCTTGAGTAGGTAGGATTATAGACATGAGCCACTGGCACCCGGCTGAAATGATTTTTCTATACTAGGATACCATAACCATTTATCCATATTATAATGTTTTTGTAGTTTTAGGATTAAATCTTTGTTCAATTTTTAGTTGATTTTGGTTTGAAGATTGAAGAATAGATGCAGGTTTTTTTTTTTCTCTTTCACTAACCAATAATCCCAATTGTATAGATTGAACAATTCATCTCTCTCTTGGTCATTTGAGATGATTGAGGATGTATGTTTAAAGCAGTGTGACTCATAAGGGGGTGACAGTGGGGTCAGCTCTTTAAGCCTTTCCTCAAAAGGAAGTATATAATGCCAAACCACAAGTTTAGTCTTCATATTTCAAAATATTTTAGAAACTCGTACAGTACAGTACATTTTCTAACAGTACTTAAGTTTTAAGTTACTAGGGACACATAAGAGGAACTTGACTAAAAGTACATCTTGTTTTCAGTTGATGTTTGACATTTCTCAAATGCCATCAAATAGAATGTTTTGATAACAGCCATAATAATAATAATAATTGAGTTGTACTGTTATGTGATTTTTTTGTTTTAATACATTTTAATATTCAGCTAAATTTTTGTAATCCAGTAGAGTCATTTGGTATACTGAAGTATATTTAATTTTCTCTTTTCAGATAATTAGTTTGTTAAATGTGTTTACACCACAAAAAACTCTAGAAGAATTTCAAGATGTGTAAGTATCAATTGTATCAAAGATGGAAAAAATTTAGAAGAGAAGTAGCCAATTTCTAGTATTTAGGAAATGTAGGGGGCCATCCATTTCTTAACGATACCATAGATACTCTTTTATCTATGAATGACACTACAAAAAAGGGGGGTATTAATATTTACTTTGTTTTGCCTAGAATTCTCTTATTCCTATGACTGATCAAAGATAAATGCAGAGAATTCCTCAGAGCAGGCAGTGACCATTGATGTGTCTACTCTATTTTACTGAACTACAAAATTTTCTTCAGTTCTCGATAGGTGTTTATGAGTATTACTTGAAATGATTGTGTCATTAAATAGTCTGTGTTATATAGACTTTTTTTTTCAGTTTGATCTCAGGATCTTATACTTGCTAGGACACATCTCTTAAGCCCTTTTTGTACTAGTTATTTCTGAGAAAATGGCTTCCTGCCCAGGCACTAGCCTGAGCCACAATCTGCCTGTTTTAGGATTCTTAGTGTAGGTAGAATAACAGGTGTACACCACCTGTTGGGAAGAAGTCTCAAAAACATTTCTGCCTGAGCTGGCCACGAACCACAATCCTCCCAATCCAGCCTCCCAGCTTTCCTTGCTAGCAGTGAGATGAAATACTAGTCTACCATATTGATGTTCAACTTGATCCTACATTTATTGGTGTATTCAATCACAGAACAAATGATTGTTCACCACGTGCTATATGCTCTTTTGGAGTTAGTGTACCTTAGTGACAAATGGAAGCAAAATTCCCTTTATTACAAATTTTAGGTAGCCAACACCCTCCTAGATCCTGCCAGAGAAGAAAGATAATAAATAGGTAAGGAAGGTATGTAGTTCCCTAGAATATATTCAGTGTTTGGATAAAAAGTCAAGCTGGGTTAGTGTTGGGAGGTTGAGATTCATGCTACAATTTTAAATAGGAAGGGTTCTCCAGAGAGAGCCAGTAGGGGAGAGAGAGAGGGAAAGGGAGGGAAAGAGAGAGAGATGGGGGAGGGGGAGCCTTATGTGAAGTAGCAGCTGAGAATGAGATGCTATCATGGCTTGCTCTAAATGCAAAGGCCACAGAGCTAGAGAAGCTAGTGTATACCTTTCCATCTAAGACCCAATGCTTGAGAGCCTCAGAGACCACTGGTGTCTTAGTCCTAGAACTAGGGAGCCCACAGTTCTGATGTCCAAGGCCAGCAGTAGAAGTCTGTCTCAGCTCATGTAGAAGAGACCAGTTAACCAGTTGCAGCCCTTGGCTGATTGGATGTCACACACCCACATTCAGACTCACATACTTATCACCTCTACAAACACCTTCCCACACAAACCCCTAAATAAGGCTCTAGCAGGCTTCTAGGTAAAGTATTCCCTAATCTGTTCAAGTTGACACTCAAAATGAACCATGACAGGCTAGTTGGGGAAAGACCTCAGCAAGTTGGTGATATGTAAAGGAAGTCTTGGAGGAGATGAGTTAGTCCCAGAGGTCTTTGTGGTGAGGTGGAGTGAAGATCAAGGGAGATGGTCGGGGCAGAGCAACAGTAGAACATGCTTCGTGTGCCAGGCAAGAAGCCAATGTGGCCAGTAGAGCAGGAGGAGAAGATGGACATTACAGGTGCCCCTAGGTTACTAAAGCAAGTCAGAGTAAGATTTCCGGTAGAGTTATTAGCTTGCCTGGCTTGTTTTTTTTTTTTTTTTTTTAGAAGAATAACTGGTTTCTGAGTAGAAACCTCTGTAAAGTGGAGACACAGAAACCCAGTTAGGAACAGGCTTCTGCAGTTGTCCACATGAGAGATTATGGTGGATAATAAGGGTAAGGAAAGAGACTGGACATTGAAATGGAGAGGAAACTTGTGGGGAAATGATCACTTTTTAAAAATAGACTCTTACTTTTAGAGCAATTCAGATGCATAGCAAAATTTAGCAGAAGATAGGAGTTCCCACATGTCCTCCCCTTCCCCCCCTCCCCCCCCAGCTTACTCCCAGTTATCAGTGTCCTCCACCCGAATAGGGCATTTGTTAAGACTTTCTTTATAAATGTTGTGTTTCTTACCAGCATGGCTTAATGCTGGTAAGAATGATCAAGTAGAGGAAAAACAAGTAGGAAAATTTGTGCATGATATAGATGATGTTTGATTTTTGACTTGAAAAATACATTCTTTGGAAAATTTTTACACAGTTAATTTTCTTTCCAAATACTCCTTAAAAATGCATTGAGTTTTTTTTTTTACTTTAGCTAATTGAGTGATTAGATAGTGAGCTATTACTGTTTCATAAAATGTTTGATTGAATAACCATACGGAATTTGGCGTCATTGTCATGTAATGGCTGGTTTTTTTTTATCCTCAGGTATTTGGTTATGGAATTAATGGATGCTAACTTATGTCAGGTTATTCATATGGAGCTGGACCATGAAAGAATGTCTTACCTTCTCTACCAGATGCTCTGTGGTATTAAACATCTGCATTCAGCTGGTATCATTCATAGAGTAAGTAATGACATAATGATTTTATTTTTAAAGTAACGTTATTCAGTTATTACAATCCTTTAGATAGAAAAGAACTTTGTTTTAAATTTGGCAATATTGAAAATTCAAATAAACTATCAAATCATGTGTTTCAAAACAATAGCCAGATGAGAAAGCGTTTGTGGAGTACCTAGCTTGTCCAGTCCCTGTGTAAGCCAGCACTATAGACATATCTTTTTCTACAGAAAAAAAAAATTGTTTTAAATTTTAAAGTAGCTTAAAACTTTGAGAAAACTGCAAGAATAGGACAAAGAACTCCCAAATACCCTTTACTCCATTTTTTAAAATCCCTTTTGTAATGATCAAGGAAAATAAAGAGAAAATTATGAAGATAAGTATGAAGATACTGCCAGCACTGTCAGGTAGCAGAATTTAAAAAACAGGAAAGCTGCCAGGCACCAGTGGCTCACATCTGTAATCCTAGCTACTTAGGAGGCTGAGATCTTGAGGATCATGGTTCAAAGCCAGCCTGGGCAGGGAAATCTGTGAGACTCTTATCTCCAATAAATCATTCAGGAAACCGGAAGTGGCAAAGTGGCACAAGTGGTCTAGCACTCGCATTGAGCTGAAGAGCTGAGGGACAGCATTCAGGCCCAGAGTTCAAACCCCATGACCAGCAAAAAACAAAAAACAAAATAAAACAATGAAACAGGAAAGCCAGATGCCAGTGGCTCAGGCTTGAAATTCTAGCTGCTAAGGAAACTTGAGAACTGAAGGATCAGAGTTTGAGGCCAGTCTGTGCAGAAAAGTCTGAATGACACTATCTCCAAAATAAGCAGAAAGCAGGACTGGAGGCATATCTCAAGTGGTAGATTGCCAGCCAAGCAAGCATACTGAACAAATGTGAGGCCCTATGTTCAAACCTTGTACCAGCAAGGAAAAAAAAAACAAAAAACAGGGAGGTATAATATAATTTTCTAAGCTATTTTTATAATTTTTTGTATTGCTATATAAAGCAGACCATCGTAGAATCTTTAAACACTTAAAATGTTGAGACTGAAAGCAGAGAAATACAGTATTATTGAAAACCAGTATTCTTAGCATTCCTTGAATTACTACTATGCTAATTTTATTGACAGGCTGTCTAGATCTGTCTAGATCATTCCCAGCAGTAAGAGCCTCTTCTCTGCCCTGAAGTCTGTGTGGGAAAGGAAGTAGTGGGAACAAGGACAGTGATGCCTGTTAATAGAGAAGCATTCAGAGGTTTAACAGTATTAATTCCTCCTGATATCTCAGGTGCCAGGAAAGGTCAGTCCATCACAGCCACTAAATAGAGGCCTCCTGCGGTGGTGGAGCCATTCACCCAGGAAAAGCAGAGACATGGCCCCTCCTGGGAGCCTCGAGTCTGTGGCACAAGGCCAGGAGAGGAGTCCATATCCCATTCTCCTGGGGCCTTGTATGCTGATAAGCATCAGTCTGGCCTCCAGAGTTAAGTTATTCAAAAGTGAAGCCTTTGCTGCCACCTAGTGGTGAGTTCAAATGATACAAATTGTGGTGGTACGTTCACTTTAAAAACAACACTAGGCTCCTAAATTAAAAATAAAAGATTCCTAACAAGCCATTCTATTTCTCCTCCTAATGATATATACCTTTAATTTTATTAAATTTATGCATTCAGCTGGCTGCAAATAAAAATATTTGGAAAACAGAAAACATCGTACTGAACACATACAAACATTTTTGTCAGTATTCCCCAAAAAATACAATGTAACTGCTATTTGCAGAGCGTTTCCAGTGTATTAGGCATTATAATTCATCTAGAGATGATTTAAAGTATACAAGATGATATGCATAGAACATAGTATTATTTTATATAAGGGACTTGAGGGTCTTTGGGCTTTTATATCCATGGAAATCTTAGAACCAATCTCCAGCTGATACTGAGAAATGGAAGTATTTGCACAATACTTGCAGGTGGACTAAAGTGGCTGGAGGACCTCTGTAGATGGCCTGGTAGAAATCTGGTTGCATTCTGTGTGTGTGTGTGTGTGTGTTTGTATGTGTGTATGTATCTGTGTGTGTGTGTGTGTGTGTGTGTGTGCGCGCTTGCGCTTAAGATTGAACCAGGGCCTTATGCTTGCTAGGCAAGTGCTCTACCACTTGATCAACATCCCCAGCCAATGTTTTATTGCATTTTAAATATCAATTTATCAATTTCCCATTCAAATGTCACTGGATTCAGGGAGTTTCGGAGAGAGCATCTGACAGTATTAAAGCATAATTGCAGTTTTTATAGATTTTAATAGGTTCTCGGCATATCCTGGGAACAACTTCACAGCATCATCGTCTTGAGGCATCCCTGCAACACCTTTGTGGCCTGTCACTTGGGAAACTTTCCAGTCAGGTGCTAAGATTCACACTTTTAAGTACCCGTGAGGTAACCATGTGGCAGTAACCCTCCAATTTGACTTTAAGCTACATAGTTGAATACTGTGAGGAGAAAAGATGGAAGTTATTTCTAAGGTGAATGTACAAGCTGGGCAGTCAGATTTCTGAAGCTTGAGGGAGGGCCTACAGTGTGAGCATCAGTGCAAAGGAAGGCCCTTATGTTATGGGGGGAGGAGGGGATAGAATTATTGTGTTAGGTGTTGAAAAATGTAGTTGAGTATGTGCATTGATTCAACATTTTCTCAGTGTCCTCTATGCCAGGTAAGGCTTCTGACTCTTGGGGAACAGTGAGAGAATTATGTCTTCCCACAGTCAGGGAAGAGGTGTAGGAGCCAGTAAAAAGAACAGGTGATTTGCCAGGTGCCAGTGACTCATGCCTATAATTCTAGCTATTTAGGAGGCTGAGACCTGAGGATTGCAATTCAAAGCCAGCCCAGGCAGGAAAGTTTGTGAGACTCATCTCCAGTTAACTGCCAGAAAACCAGAAGTGGTACTGCGGCTCAAAGTGGTAGAACTCTAGCCTTGAGTGAAAAAGTTCAAGGACAGTGCCTAGGCCCAAGACCCAAAATCAAAAAAAAAAAAAAAAAAAAGAACAGGTGATTTAATGTATTACATCCAGTCTGTGGAGCCAGTGACATGGGTGGTAGAGTGTTAAGTCCTTTTGACAGAAGAAAGTTGAAATAAGCAGTCGCGAAATTCCTCTTCCAAGTGGAGAAAGAGCCACAAGAAGACTCCAGAGATAGAGAAGTCTGGACCTGGGCTGTCCAGTATGGTAGCCTCCAGCCACATACAAACATTGAGCCACTAGCCAGAAGTGGCTATAATTGGAAAATACATCCTTGACTTTATAGACTTGGCATAATTAAAAGAATATGAGATGCTAATGATGTTTTGTGTTAGTTATCATCTACAATGATAATAGTATAGATATGTTGGGTTAGATGACACGTATTATGGAAGTTAATTTCACCTGTTTCTGTTTACATTTTTTAACATGACTATTAGAAAGTATAAATTACAAACCTGGTTCATATTATATTTCTATTGAACAGTGCAGTTCCTGACTGATGAGTTGATAGGTTGGAGTGGGTTAGTTGGAGTGGTGGGGGAGCAGTGTGTGGAGGACGGAATGGGTGGTGGAGATAAGAAAAAAGAGATGAGCAGGATGGCCCAGGGACTGGGAAGAGGTTTGCAAGCTCTTGAGTTTTAAGCAAAGGAGAAATGGAAGTGGGAGATTTCTTTATTTTTGCTTTTGGTTTCTTTTGGGTCTGGGACAAGATCTTGCAAAGTTTAAGGGTAGGCTAGCCTAGAACTTTGACCCTTCTGCGTCCCTCTCCCAAGTGCTGGGATTATAAGTGTATATCAAGCCTTGCCTATCTGACTTCTTCAAGCTAATTTATATGAGTTTAACATTTGCAAGTAGGATTTTCCAAAATTGTTCCAACTTGCCTAGTTCTACCTGTCTTCCATACACAGAAGTCACTGACTTACAGCTCCTCACCTGTGAGAAATTGGGTCTCTATCTTTGGTTCATTTTATTAATTCAAACCAATTTTTTCCTAGGATTTGAAGCCTAGCAACATTGTAGTGAAATCAGACTGCACCCTAAAGATCCTTGACTTTGGCTTGGCCCGGACAGCATGCACCAACTTTATGATGACCCCCTACGTGGTAACTCGCTATTACCGGGCCCCTGAAGTCATCCTGGGCATGGGCTACAAGGAGAATGGTGAGTACAGACCACAATGCAAGCTGTGATGCTTAAAACTAGCACTGGCCGGGTGCCGGTGGCTCATGCCTATAATCCTAGCTACTCAGGAGGCTGAGAGCTGAGGATTGCAGTTCAAAGCCAGCTCAGGCAGGAAAGTCTGTGAGACCCTTATCTCCAATTAACAACTAGAAAACTGGAAGTGGTACTGTGGCTCAAGTGGTAGAATGCTAGCCTTGAGCAAAATTGCTCAGGTATAGCACTCAGGCCCTGAGTTCAAGCCCCATGACTGACAAAAAAACAACAACAACAGAAAAAAACTAGTACTGGTGGTCCTCACTAGTTTCTTCTCTTTAAAAGCATATGAAACATATGCTGCACATCAGTTATCGCAATCCATGGGTCAGTTCTTAATTTTGTATTCCCTTAGCTAAAATCCTTCATTTTCAAAATGATATATTTGAACTTTTTCTAATCAACATATAATATGCCTGTAGTAGAAACGTGTGCACATGCTGTGTGTGCATCCTGCTCTGATCGTGCCCACATAACCAGCAGCCCCCAGGGCCTTCCCCAAGTGCCCTGGCTGTGTCTTAACCCACACATTATCCTTATTCCCAAAGCAAAGAGTGAATATACTTATTTTTTAAATTTACTATACATGGAATAATGCAACATGTTCTTCGAAAGTTAGCTTTTAACAGATCACATTTGCTCGAGTCTTCTGGAATGAGTGTGTGCATTCATTTCAGTGCTTTGTAATCTATACTACTGCTCTGAGAGGCACAGCTCCATGAGCATCCTGGAGAAGAGGAGATAGTCAAACCCACCATTCTCTTTCCCTCATATGTGCCCACCCACAGCAGCACGTAGACACCTCTGCCAATGATACCTGAGGCATGGGGTTGCGCCCGGTCCATAAGAGAGGCCAACACTATGTTGTTGTGCTTAGACTGGATCCTGCCCTGATCCCAGTCCATTGCCTACTGAGCACTGCTCTTTTCTGATTGGCTGTTTAGAAATTATTATTCAGCCAGGGGTGATGGTGGCTCACATCTGTAGTCCTAGCTGCTCAGGAGGCTGGGATGTAAAGATCAGGGTTCAAAGCCAGCCCGGGCAGAAAAGTCCATGAGACTTTTATCTTCAATTAAGTACCCAAAAAGCCAGAAGTAGAGCTGTGGCTCAAGTGGTAGAGCACTAGCCTAAGTAGAAAAGCTCAGAGTCAGCGCTCAGACCCTTAGTTCAAACCCCAGGTCCAGTGCCCCTCCCTCCCCCCACCCCCCCCAAAAAAAAGAAAAAAAGAAAAGAAATGATGTGCTGGGTTTTTACCAGAGCTCCCACGACAAGCTAATGTGTAGTGTGCCTGGTCTTGATTGGGAGGGGGTTTGGAGAAAAGAGATGTGGGCTCTCTAGCTGGCTTTTAATCACCTGGTGTTTGGTAGTGGACATCTGGTCTGTCGGGTGCATCATGGCAGAAATGGTCCTCCATAAAGTCCTGTTTCCAGGAAGAGACTGTATCCTTCACAGGGAGACACCCAGCACTTGGCTGGCTGGGTGTGGGATGGGCGTGTGCCCCTGAGAAGCTTTATGTTCATAGCTACTTCTTGTTTCTGGTTTTTGTTTTTTTGTGTGTGTTTGTTTTAAGCTGTAAGGCATTGGAATCTTTGGCACTAAGGCCCCAGATTGCTGCAAACTGAAGGCTAAAATAGAGGTCAGCAATAACTCATACTGTATAAACGGTTCACCCCTAGCTAGCAACTTACTTTTCCATATTTGTGTGTGTAGTACACCGTTAGAGTTCCTTTTCTCCTCACTTTTGTTTTGTTCATGGCACTTCATAATTTTATCATTTCATTTTATTTTCAGTTGATATCTGGTCAGTGGGTTGCATCATGGGAGAGCTGGTGAAAGGTTGTGTGATTTTCCAAGGCACTGACCGTATCCTTCCCCGAGACCTTGACCCTGGCCATGCTTTCCATACGGGCAGCATGAGCGTACCTACTTACAGATGCTCAGCAGGAAATGTCACGCTCCACACTGTGTTCTCAGGGGGCTTTGTGGTGTGTGTTAACTTAGTATCACAAACCAAATGGCTCCGTTTTACATTTTGTTCTTAACTACCTGTGTTGGTTCTATAGAGACTTGGAGTTATGTTAAGCCAATTGTGTTAGCTCCTAATTTTATAAAAAATAGCTAGATGTGTAGAAGAAATCATTTACTTTTTGATCAATGTATTCTGATATTTAAATGAAAATACTGTTGTGTAAGTTAGTTCACTCCATTAATTCTATTAAGAAAGATGCTATCTAAATTAATGAGCTAATACACTTGTGTGATTGAATCAATCAAAATGTTTTGTTCTTTGTTGGTATGCATTAAAGTATTTCCCTTAATGTCAGAATAAAAACATACTGAGACCTAAGTTTAAAAAAAAAAAAGTTGTGAGGAACAAATGTGAGTTTTTCTAGTTTGTTACTTTGCTGATGTTTTATGGGCATTTCAAAGGCTCCAACCTACTATGGAAGGCATTAAATACAAAAGATTAACTCACACAGTGGTGAGCAAATACAGCAATACAGCACAGCACACCGGAGGATAGACACTCTAACAATTATAAGAGCTTTCTTTCCTCATAGTCCTTCTTCCATCTTAATATTTTTTGCCCTTTTCCTTTGTGTTCTAATCTTGTAATATTTCCGTTAATTTTTATTTTGTTTTTGCTATGACAGCTCAAAATGGTCTCTCTTTGGTAGCAGATCAATGTTAACTTAAAGGAAATCACGCTCTGTACGACTTCTTCACCACATGGACTTGGAATGAAAGTATTTTCTATTACCCTCCTTTACATTTTCCACACCATAGATTATGTAAGATGTGAAGTTAAATATAGCATTTAATTTTGTTCTAATAATTTTTCTGGAATTTTTTTGTAGTCCTACCTTAGATTCACTTGTTTCAAACTATAAGGAAGTCTTAGAAGAAAAATCGGGGTATTCTAGAAGTTAATAATTTTAAAATATTTACTGAGTAGTTTGTCCTAATTTAGTTTCTTTTTCTAAAGAAAGTTTGCCAGATTTTTCAAACATTAAGTGAAATTTTGGGTCACAGAAGTCAAGTTGTAGTTCTCAGAGTCTTTAGATTTTTTGACCTGAGGAGTAAAGGAACTCTTGTCCCCACTGTTGCCTAAGAGAAAGCTTTAAGCAGGCCAGTTTGAGCCCAGGGTCAGACTCCTCTGTGGCAGCCATACGTCCGTGAGACATTCTGGCCTCCTCTGAGTCTTGGACAGGATCGTGACAGTTAAATAACAATGGTGTATATACCACACCCAGGAAATCCACCAGGCTTGCCTGGGTCTTTTCCTTCCTCCCCATTGCTGACATCTATGAAAATGAGCCTGTACCATTATAATAATCCATCAGATCTGTATGGAGCACCTCTGCCTGTTTCTAGTCTACGTTAGGTTTTGAAAGGCTCTCAAACGCAGCAGGGTTAGGGTAAAAGAGGACAGAGAAGGAGACCTCCTAGAGGTAGTTCATTGTCTACTGGGACGTGGCAGAAGCTCACTCCAGGCAAAGAGCAGGGCCTACACTCCCATCTACTTTGAAGGTCTACCTGTCCATTGGCCTTGTGGAAGTCTAGAAATACCAGTTAGTAAAAATATCAAGTGTAATATTGCAGTGAGAGATCTAGACTAAAGAAGTAAATGTGGGAATCATCAGTCTGTTAATAGCACTGAATTCTTGAGCTGGTCACAAGCGCTTAGATAGAGAGGGAAAAAGGAAGAAAATGAGGGCTGATAATTGACCATTGGATATAGCGATGGCCCTGATGAGCAGAATTTTCATGAAGCTCATAGCCCAGTGAAGACATGTTTAGGAAGGAATGAGAGGTTGGGAATTAGAGACAGAAGTGTAGGTAACTTTTTATTTTTCAGTACTAGGGCTTGAACTCAGGGCACTACACTTGCTGGACAAATGTTCTATCACTCAAACCATGTCTCCAGCCTCTGTACATATTGGGTTATTTTTCAGATAAGTTCTCTGGTTTTGGCTTGGGCCAGACTTAAGCTGTGATCCTCCTACCAAAGCTTCCCACAGAAGGGAGATGACAAATACATACTATCATACTCAGTTTACTTGTTCAGATGGGGGCTTGCTACGTTTTTTTATTTTTTATTTTTCCTGGGCTAGCCTCAAACCATGATCCTCATAATCTCTACCTCTCAGGTAGCTGGGATTACAGCTTTGAGCCACTGGGCCTGGCCAGTACACAGATAACTCATCAAAGGAGATACCTGTGCAAACAGAAGAAATGGCATGATCGCTACTGGGATTGAAGGAGTATCAAAACAAAGTGGCTGTGTTAGAATGTGACTCAGTGATAGAGTACCAACCTAGCAAGTGTGAGGCCCGAGTTCAGGCCCCAGTACTAGCAACTAGCAACCACAAAAGAAAAAACTGGCTGTGTTCTCCTATGGGAGAGAAAAAGCATTATGTCTAGCCAGGTGCTCGTGGCTCAAGCCTATAATCCTAGCTACTCGGGAGGCTGAGATATGAGGATCAAGGTTGAAAGACTGCCCAGGCAGGAAAGTCTGTGACACTCATCTCCAATTAATTACCAAAAAGCCAAAAGTGGAACTGTAGCTCAAGTGGTAGAACTCTAGCCTTGAGCAGAAAAGCTCAGGGACAGTACCCAGGCACTGAGTTCAAGCCCAAGGATGGACACCCCCCCCAAAAAAAAAAGAAGATGAGTTTATATGTCTATGTACTGAGGGATTTCAAAATGACCTAAGTATGTTTCCTAAGAAATGCCTCAGTCAATCACCTTTTTGAGCTGTTGTTTATGTGATTCCCCCACCCCCAGCTTTATTTTCAGGTTCAATATCACTTTCCACACACACCATCCTAGTAACCCCAAGCCTGACAAGCACCCTGTGAACTAGGCAGGGCCGGTTACCTTCTGCTTTGTGCAAATATCGAGGCTGCCCTGAGGAAGATAGGCTTCCCTGACACTTGAGTCTGAAACCCAGGTCGTGTACTTTGAAAGGAAGTAAAGTGCATTACTAGATTTCACAGGAATGGTGGAGCTGGGTCCATGCCAACTAAAACAGAATGACAATTGAAAGCTGTTGCTGCTCAGTCTCAGGAATATGTTCATGTGGGAAAGGCCCAGGCCCATAGTGCAGGAAGGCCAGAGCCCTGCTTCCACCCCCCTCTTTCACTCTGTCATCTTTGGCTAGCCTGTCCCACGGGACTTCAGTTGCCCACCTATAACAGATCAGATGGGTCTCTCATATTCCTCTTCCTTAGAGAGCTGTGTAGCTTTAGTGTGAATTTTTCATAGGTAATGTGCACCTAATATCATGTTTAATCATTTCTACCACAGACTTAATCATCTCTGTCATAATTTTATTTTGAACTAGACTAGGAAGGCAAATAAATCTCATTGTTTTGATTTAATAAGTTGTGATCATAGTTTATAGATGCAGAGTATGTGGGTGTTTTTTTTTAAGTACTCTTAATTTGGAAGTCCAAACTTTACCTATTTAGATCCAAATGCTTCTACAGACCTGGTTGGGGGAGGGGGTATGTGGCATAGTTGCTTACTTGGCCATAGGTATAAAAAAATAATTTTTCTTTGAATGGTGATATCACATGTAATATGACTATAAGGCACGTCAGTTGTATTTTCCTCAAGAGATTCCTTAGATATTGATCAGTGGAATAAAGTAATTGAACAACTAGGAACACCGTCATCAGAGTTCATGAAGAAACTTCAGCCAACTGTGAGGAATTATGTAGAAAACAGACCAAAGTATCCTGGAATCAAGTTTGAAGAACTCTTTCCAGATTGGATATTTCCATCAGAATCTGAACGAGATAAAATAAAAAGTAAGATATCCTTTTATTCTGATGCAGATGATGCTGTTTATCCATGTTTGTACTCTAAAACCTGTGCATACTAGGAGATAAGCTAGTTGAAACCCTGAAACAAAGCCTAGATGTCTGCCTGTGTCAAGATATTACAGAGAGAAAGCTTAAAGGCTAAGAGATGTCTTGCTTTGGCCAAAATTAAAACATTCAAATTACTTTGTATTGAATCAGCAACCTGATTTTAAAGTTTTCAGCTATAAAGAACACTTAAATGAAGATTCTAGCTTTGTAAACTGAGTGTGGCATAGTGGTACACTCCTATAGTCCCAGCACTCCAGGAACTGAGGCAAGAAGAGTTTGAGATAAGCCTGGGCTGTATAATAAGTTTGTCTTACTAAGAGACATGCAGCCTTCCCTGGCAGGTGAGAACAATTAAAACGCTTTACATACATGATTTTGTGCAATTAATATTCAGCAATACAAATGTTTTCAACAGGGCTGGAAAGGTGGCTCAGTGGTAGAGTGTTTGCCTTGCATGCGTGAGGCCCTGGGTTCGATTCCTCAGCACCACATAAGCAGAAAAAGTCAGAAGTGGGGCTGTGGCTCAAGTGGTAGAGCACTAGCCTTGAGCTGAAGAGCTGAGGGACAGTGCCTGGACCCAGAGTTCAAGCCCCACGATGGACCAAAAAAAAAAAAAAAATGGTGGCCACTTTTTCTTAGAAGTCTTTGGCTCTTCTTTGTTCTTGCTCGAACATGTCTCATTATTCTGTCTATGCTGTCACATTTAGTTCTCTACTATGTGGTTTTGTTTCAGACTAATAGCATAAGCATACTAATCTAGTATTTGTTTTCCCCCTTAGCAAGTCAAGCCAGAGATCTGTTATCGAAAATGTTAGTGATCGATCCAGACAAGCGTATCTCTGTGGATGAAGCCCTGCGTCACCCATACATTACTGTTTGGTATGACCCTGCAGAAGCGGAAGCAGTTAAGTGTCCATTTGGAAGATACCTACATGAGAAGCAGGGCTTACTTTTCCTAGATCCTCCCTCTGTTTGTCTGAAAAGCTACAGATGAACAGCAGGCTCCTGAGTACAAAATTAAAGGCCTACACCCTGTGTCGGATACCTTGATATTGAGGCTGAACATGCTTATTCGGTGATGACATAGTTGCCTTTGGCAAAAGCTGATGTTTAATGATGACTTAATAAGCATCTGTTTTGTGCCTGGCCTTACACCATGGACTTTGCTCTTACTCAGGCCCCTGAACCAGAGAGACTAAATGACTTGCTAGAAGTGACAAGGTTGTTTATATTATTCTCTGAGGCATCTGGGCCCCCCTGTCCTCCTGCACAAGGAGTTCTCTTCTGCATTGGTGCTCATATCCATTTTCCATGGCAATGCTGTGTGAATGAACTTTGCCTCTCCAATTCAGAGCCCTAAATAAGAGGATACAAGCGAAGCCCATGACACAGTGCCACACACAGAACAGCTTTCATATAGTGGTGCTGGGTTTAATCTCTGTGGTTATTAATTTTGTGATCTCATCTGGCAGATGACTGTAGAGGGTCCTAAAGTCACGTGGTTAAGAGGATTATTAGTAACAGCTCTCTTTTTTGCCTATTGTTCCTTATTTTGATTCTAAAACTGCTACAGTAGCATAGGTATGACAAAATTGCTTTAATAAACCATGTGCTAATGAAACTAAATCTATATCACAAATAGTGTAGTAATATTTCAAGAGATGTTACCTTTTTTTATCATGCCTCATTGTTCTTTGAACTGTTGATCTTACATGTCATTTCATTTTTAGCCACCACCTCAAATTTATGATGCCCAGTTGGAAGAAAGAGAGCATGCAATTGAAGAATGGAAAGGTAAAGGAGCTTACTTTAAACCTTACTGATGACATGTTTTTACAATCCTGAAAGTTTTAAATTTTGACCTGAGCCCTTAGGAAGAAGCTAGAGATTCTCTAGTGCTCTTTCTCTTTCTCTGTCTGCTTAGTTGAAAAAGAACTTGAAAATGTTTAAAGGAAACCTGTATACTGTTTGTATTTTCACTGGATTTTACAGTATCAACTACTGGTTTGTCAACTAAAATCAGTAACTGTATCACACCTATCTAGATAACATGTTGAAAATTTGTCAAGTAACCTCCTACAAAATTTCCTGTCTAAGCAGATACCAAGGATCCCAGCTGAGGATTATATGAACTTATGCATTATGTTTTAGGCCATGTATATATTTAAAAAATCTAGTTTGAGGGGAAATAGCCAATTAAAAATAGACAAGAAGATATTATTATCAGCATAAGATTAACCTTACCACCAAAAACTAAACTGGTATAAAAATGCTGACTAACAGGTATTCATTGAAAAGCAGGGTCAGAGCTGGGCATCACCATATCTGGGTGCACAGCTGGGTGCATATCTGTAATCCCAAATACTTGGGAGGCAGAAACAGGAAAATTACCATTTTGAGACCACCCCAAGCAAAGGCACTGAGACACTGTCTTGAAAACAAAACAAAAGAACCAGGCCTGAACCCTTCCCAGAATTGGGTGTGCACACATGCAGCATTCAACCACTTTCATGGACCCAAGTACGTGCTTGCATTGTGCTGTTAGTTCATGAATGCTAAAATGTTAGGAACCCCTAACAACTTACACTGTTCAATTAGTTGTTCTTATCAGTGAAAGTTGGAAACTGCTAAGACATGATTTAAGTGTATGGATTCATTTCTGTTAAGTCTGAAGGAGGCTGCAGCCCACAAGTAGATGATGGTGTGACACTGGAGAACCACAAGTAATGATGGAGAGAAACACATTCAGATACTTGAAAATCATCTGATCCTTTAAAATAGCTACAAGAACTGCTCTGTTCATTTGTGCATTCCCCTCCCTTCCTGCTCCTCTGATTCAGAACAGCCCTGCATTTACTGGCTGTCCTTATAGTCTCGTTGAAAAGTTACATGGATTCTGGGGCCACAATGGTAGAAAAATTGCCTAACATGTAAGGTTCTGAGTTTGATCTCCAGCACTGAAAGAAAGAAAGATAGAAAGAATAAACAACAACAACAAAAAAAGTGCCAGGTACCAGTGGCTTACACCTATAATCCTAGCTACTCAGGAGGCTGAGATCTGAGGATCTCGGTTCAAAGCCAGCCCAGGCAGGAAAGGCGGAGAAATTCCTATCTCCAATAAACCACCAGAAAACTGGAAAAGTGGTACTGCGGCTCAAGTTGTAGAGCACTAGCTTTGAGCTGAAGAGCTGAGGGACAGCACTCAGGCCCAGAGTTCAAGCCCCATGACTGACCAAAAAAAATTATATATATATAGGATCAAAATATGGATACCCTAGTAGACTCTATATTAGTGAATTAACCGTGTCTTGCCACTTAAAATAACACGTCATAGTGCCTGTGGAGGGTTCAGGTGATTTGGAAGCATTGGTTTTTTTGTTTTTTTGTGTATATATTTTTATTTATTTTTTAATTGTGAAAATCCCGTACAGAGGGGTTACAATTACATGGTCAAGATAATGAGTACATTTCTTATCAAGCATTGTAGCCTCCTCCTTTGTTTCCCCTTCCCATCCTCCCCCCCCCCCCCCCCCACCCAACCCTCCCCCCCCCCTCCAAGCATTGTTGAGAGATGCAGAGACACTGACCAAGCATGTTAACTTGCCTTTCCATTTGAAGAGCTAATTTACAAAGAAGTAATGGACTGGGAAGAAAGAAGCAAGAACGGTGTGGTAAAAGATCAGCCTTCAGGTTAGTGATTGGTTCAATCATTTTCTTTACCTAATCAACTTATATAAATCACAGCAGTGTGGGAAATGCCTGTGAGACCACCCCTGGACATGAACGTCCAGTAAAACTGTGTTATGTGACATCATCTCTCACTTTCTGACATGACCTAGAGGTTGTATTGGTGTTTGTATTCTATCCTTGCAACAACTACGGTCAGCTCCATTTTAGAGTCCTTACAGTGAGCTTGGCTCTTTGTTTAAAAACAAAAATAACATAAAACAAGAAACCACCAAACAAGGGGCTTGGTAGCTCATGCTTATAATCCTAACTACTTGAGAAGCAGAAATCAGGAGGATTACAATCCAAAAAAATTCACAATCTCAGTAAAAAATGAGACCCTGTTTACAAATTAATGAAAATGAATGGGGTGGTAGCTTAGGTGGTAAGAGCCCCTACCTAGCAAGTATAAGGCCCTAAGGTCAAATGTTACTATTAAAAAAAAAAAAGGACAAAAAGAAGAATGCTAACATAAATCCAGGTAAAATGGAATTTGTTTTGTGTTTGTAAAATTTTTATACTTGACTTGCCTAGTGGTAGAAATCTAATGACTAGGTAATTGTATCATTGGGAGAGAGTTAGCTATCAATGGTCTTAATCTATATATGTGGATTTCTTTTTGCTTACTAAATAAAACTTAAGTTATAGTTATTTGCTTAATCCTACTTGAAATAACAGCCATACAAGTATAAATTGCACAGCTTATTTCTTGTTAAATTTTATATTCATCATGATATGTGCCAGGTATCTAGAGGTAAAATAACTTAGCAAGAATTTAGAATTTGTAAATACAAATCTACAACTACAAACACTAAACTCTGAAAGCCTGTGTATTTTTTTTCAAACCAGACTAAAATATATATATATATATATTATGAAATCAGATAGCATCATTTTCCTCTAAAAATTAAATATCAATTTTCTGAACTCATAAACAAAAATAAAACGAATAAGAGGCCACTAATATTTTCCTTTGTGTGTTGTGTCTGCCGTATTTATTTCAGAGGTTTTTTTTTTTTTTTTTTTTTTGGTCAGCTGTGGGGCTGAACTCTGGGCCTGGGCGCTGTCCCTCAGCTCTTCAGCTCAAGGCGAGCGCTCTACCACTTGAGCTACAGGCCACTTCCGGTTTTTTTCTGGTGGTTTATTGGAGATAGGAGTCTCACAGTCTCTCCTGCCCGGGCTGGCTTTGAACCGAGATCCTCAGATCTTAGCCTCCTGAGTAGCTAGGATTACAGGCGTGAGCCACCAGCGCCCGGCAGAGGTTTTTTTTTTTTTTTTTGCAGACAATTCACGTGTTGAGCTTATGTTATTGGAGCTTATGTTATAACTGAAATGTTTGACACAGGTCCTATTCAGGCTTAACCTTGTTGTCATGCTTGTAAGATAAATTCATCAATTTCCTTTTAAAACTAAGGGTTTTTTTTTTTAAGTTAGTTAGCATGAGCATATGGGACCATGTCCATCTTTAGCCACTGGAGAGGAAGAGGCATGTCACAGGGAAAGGCAGGAATACATGAAATACTGGAGCAAAAGGAAGACTTAAGGGAAACTCCAAAATGTACAATCGACTAACTTCTTATTCTTACAATAGCTAGGACTGGGAAACTGCAAAAGGACAGAGCCAAGAAGTGGCCTGACATCTCATTGCCTGGATTTGCAGCAATGTCGTGCCTCAGATTTTATTCTATTTGGTTTTCTTAGCACAGATGCAGCAGTAAGTAGCAACGCCACTCCTTCTCAGTCGTCATCCATCAATGACATCTCATCCATGTCCACCGAGCAGACCCTGGCCTCAGACACAGACAGCAGTCTTGATGCCTCGACGGGACCCCTGGAAGGATGTCGGTGATAGGTTGGGAACAGGAAACATCATCAGTGGAGGAACGTTCACTTTCATGGTCGTCCCAAAAATGTGTGGGAGTTGATGGAACCAAATAGAAAAACTCCATGTTCTGCATGTAAGAAACACGATGCCTTGCCCCACTCGGTTCTAATAGGATTGCCTGCCTAGATTATAAAAACAAAGCCGATTATGTCTGAAGAAAAAGTACGAGCCACACTTATAGAGATTTTGTTCAAGATCATTTCAGGTGAGCAATTAGAATAGAAGACATTTTACAAGTCGTGTGGTGATAATGGTGACAGTTTCTCCTCATCTGTATCCGTTGGGACTTAGTGCATGTGACCACTTGCTTGGGCTTGCCCACCTGGCACTTTGGAAATCAGTATTTAATGCCAAATAATCTTCCAGGTAGTGCTGCTTCTAGAATGATCTCTTAATCCTCTTAAGTCATTTGGTGTCTGTCCAGAAAAAAAAAATAGATTTATATGTATTAATTGGCCACCATCATAATACGTTATCCTCTTTTATGGTATGATTCTATCTTTTGTATTTCAGAAGTATATCATTAAATCTATTTAATAAAAATATAGCTTTTAAAAAAAAACTTGTGATGTTTCAGGCTGAGAATTATCACTGCTAAAACCAAGACACTGTTTCCTCTAAATTGTTTAATGTGAGATGATTCCGCTTTACTGCATGAAAAAATTTTCAGTTTTGTGCTGCTTAAGATGTAAGTACCCTTGAATCCTGTCTTATCTCTTTTTTTTTTCTTGGTTGTTGGGATTTCTTAATAATTTTAAATGTTCCCTACTATTTCATGTTCTTTATCAGACACATAATACTTGGTCTCAATAACATGCTACCACGTAGGTTCCTGTACTCATTGCCTAAGGTTGACTAGAACTTTACAAAATCGTCTCAAGATCTGTCAACTACCAAGTGCTTCCTTCTTCAGATCCTGGCCTGACTCCTTTGCTCATCCACTCATTCAAGATGAAATACAAGGCCAACAGCACATTCTAATGCATTTTTCTTTCTCACTGAAAAAAAGCCAGGTCAGTCCCTTCAAAAGCCTGTTCTCCACTTTGTGGAGACAATTCCTTCTCCTAAGGGAAATCTATGATGTTCTGGAAAATTCTCCTAGAGGATAGTGACTCTTGAATGCTTTCTGGTTAAAACTGCTCACCTGAAATTGATTCTTTCACTTTCTGATGTGTAAATTCTATATGAAATTGATAAAGATGCTGAGTATTTATGTGTCAATGCAGAAATGGAGTTACAATGATTACATTTGCCTACCTGTGCTCAGAATGATTTTTCCCTCGAGCTTACGTTGTTGCTATTCATATCTTGTGTTCAATTATTTTGAAAGCTATTTGGCCAATGTTCTATAGAATGTGTTTCTGGGAGGACCTTTAATAAGAGTTTATCTTAAGTATTATCTGAAATATATGATTCTCTGCAGCAGTTGTATCTTAACGGTTGGTCTTATCACTGGAAACTGGAACCCTTGATGGACAGAATTGATCTTGAAATAAGGAATGGTTTTATATCAAGTCACTTAGATACTTTAAGTATGAAGTGTAAATTTGAACTTGGATAGAGGCAGAAACACCTATTATGTGGCTTAGCCCTGGAGGCCTAATGTTATACCTAAGGAAGTCATCACTATACACATATGTAAACATCAAAACTCACTAAATCTGTCTTTGAAGTGAAAAACAATAGGGAGTATTGTGCACTGCATGATCTGCCCTGAGCCATGTACAGGTGTACTGATGTCAGGCTCGGCTGGTCCCACTTACCAGGAGATACCTGAAGGTGGAGCAAGGTGCCACAGCGCAGCTTTCGGCTCACCTATTCCTATGTGTGTCCCAGAAGCCTGTTGTCATGAATGGAGCCTGTGCTGGCATGGAGAGGTCGCTGTCCTGACCCTCTTCTGTCAGGTAGGCCAGTGTACCTGGACCAGTCACAGAACTCCACAGAAATACCTCACCCCAATGTCAGGGTCCTCCCTCCTGAGCCTAGATTTGCCAGGGTCCTGATGCAAGGCAGATGGTTTTGACCTGATCTCTGTGGAGAAATGCTGGGATTGGATAATGAACTGAAAAAAAATGTGCTCAACTTTTTCATCTTTTCTATTTTATTTTTGTAATTTATATTGTACACACCCTGGAAGTAACTATTTTGGACATGTATTTTTATAAACCAGGTAATTGATAGTTATCTGGGATTTGAACTAGGTTTGTTTCTTTTGTTGGGTCAGTTGTTGGTCAAAAAGGAAATGACCGCTTTCCCCCATGTCTGGGTTTCAATTTCAAGTGCAGATTCTAGAGGGCAGAGTCCTGTCAGGGTAAGAGAGCAGTCTAGGAGCACTGGCTGGGCAGAGTCGGACAGCTGTGGGTCTGCAGACCAAGCAGGGCTCTGTTCCTGCCTTTGAAACACTAAACTCAAGAGCTCCAGTGCTGGAGAAAGCCCTCTGCAGGACCCCTTGCTGACGCGCAGGGTCTGTATCTGGGACACTGGTTCAATTGGAACTGAGCCCTATGTATGTTATAACAGTGGCTGGGTTTGTCTGGTTGGTTTCTGATGTAACTCCTCTGATATTTCATACTGATGGTAAATACTGGTCTGACCTTTCAGATCGCATATCTCAAAAGTAACATTGCCTAATGTTTTATAATAAAATATACTATGTGTGTTTTGATTGGTAAAAAAAATAATACAGACTACATTTTAAAAGAGAAATGTATAGCCTGTCCTATTTGTGTGTATTTTTAAGTGACAGTTGACTGTATCTTTTATATCACCATCTCTGATTACAGACTTAACCTGAATGTGAGTAGGTGTTGGAGTGTAATGATTTCAGTCAAGATTTGCCAAGTGTTTTCACACTGAAAGCCAAGAAACATTTTGTTTGTTCCCTTACTGAAAGTGTTCTGCAGATTCCTGAGTCTTAAGTTTTTCAGAATAATTGTAATAAGTTTATACTTCAAAACTATGCCCATATAAAACCAAATACACAAATAGCAAAACTATTTCCTCACAAATGAACCCAGAGAATCTGCCAGTCTATCTGTATTTGTATTCTGTAGATTCAGGAATGACACTATGTGCTTGTTTTCTGCATAGGATGATCCACTTTCATCTCACCCCTGCTTTCAAGCACCTTAGGATGTTTGAGTTTGGTTCACTTCTTTATTCTTTATCTTAAAAGAACTAGAAACATTACAGATAGATGCTTCTCTTGACCTTAGTCCAGGTTCCATTTGTCTATCCTACTCCTCTGTATGCCCTTAATGGGCCTAAATATTTCATTATTTGTTGACCAAAATGGTCCATTGTAGGCAGGTGGGAGGGCTGGGGAGTGCTAAAAATAATGTTTAATTGGCCACTTAATGTGGTCTTGAAGATTCTATTGCTATTCCTGTGGGAGAGAGAGAGAGAGAGAGTGTGTGTGTGTCCTGGGACTTGAACTCAGGGTCTGGGCATTGTCACTAAGCTTTTTGGCTCAAGGCTAGCACTCTGCAACTTAAGCCACAGCTACACTTCCTGATTTTTTTTGTGGTTAATTGGAGTCTACAGCCTTTCCTGCCCTTGATCCTCAGATCTCAGCCTCCTGAGTAGCTAGGATTCCAGGTGTGAGCCCCAGGTGCTCTTACTCCTGTGGATTAACATAGAATGTTATCTTTAACAATAGTGAAGTTGTTTGAGTTTTTGTTTGTTTTCAGTCAGGGAAGTAAAAAATAAAACCAATAATGTTTCTTCTAAGTGAAACATTTAGGTAGTAGGCCTGTGGCTTAATCAGGTCTTCTGAAAGCAGAATGTGATGATGACTTCAGAGAGACGTAATCAGGCCAGGGAACTCAGGCCTGTAGCTTCAAAGTTTCTTGGGAGACTGAGACCAGAAGAATCATGAACAGTCTCATCTCAACAAAAGAAGCAGAGTATGGTGGTGCATGCCTGTCATCCCAGCTATGATAGGAGTATAAAACAGGCGGATCATGCCCAGGGCAGCCCAGGCAAGAAGCTAGTCACAGCCATTGGGAGCTGGTTGTGTGCTGTACATTCTAGATCCAGGGACTGTGTATTCCTCCATAGTTTGAAAGACCTTGGTCTTTTGGGGTCTTTGGAGTCTCAGAAACCATTGTGAACAGTACCTCCTCCTTCTTTTCTTTGTCTTAGAATTGGAAGAGAAATTTGAATTTATTTCGCCTAGCCCCTCACCACACAACAATGAAGAGAGATGTGATCAATACAAAGCTTAAGCATACCTTACCCTTTTTTTTTTTAATGGGAACCCAGTCAAAGTCTGTACATTCATGATGTCATAGCCTTAAATATTTTCTACTCCATGAAACGAATTCATGGTACCTGGCACGCTGCTATTATTTGTCCCCCAAAGGTGCATTTACTGGAAACTTGGTCCCAGTGTAACCAGGAGGGAACTGTCAAGAGCCTTTAAGAGGGAGGGTCTTGGGGAGGGAGAGGATTAGGTCATGCATTCCCCACCCTTGTGAATGGATTACTGTCTGGGAGGACTGAGTAGGTTCTCTGAAGACTTTACAGCTCACAGAAGTGAATGGGGTCTCCCCGTGGATTAGTTACCATGAGAGTGGGTTGTCAGCCTCCCTTCTGTCTGCCTCACGTACCCACTGCATCTGCACACGCTTACTTCCCTTTTCTCTATCCCATCGTGATATGACAGAGCACCAGGCGCTCACCAGAAGCAGAGCAGATCCCAGCACCATGCTCTTGGACCTTCGGAACTGTGAGTTCAATCAACTTTTTGTCTTTATAAATAATCTAGCCTCAGGCATCTTGGCATCTTGTCTCCTGGGCTGGAGACTGAGACAAGACACAAGTACCTGCCTTTGGGGACCTAATTCAACATATCTGCAGTGAAATAATGAATAATTAGTGAGTGCAATCAAATAACTTCATCAAGTCTATTCTCAGCCTGAACTGGAGATGAGTACTGAGGGGAATGGAAACTTTGTAACAGATGGTAGGGAAGATTTCCCCCATCCCACCCCTCCAGCTTTTTTTTTTTTTTTAGATAGGTTCTCACTAGCCCAGGCTGGCCTGCGATGTGCAGTCTTCCTACCTCAGTCTCCCAAGGGCTAAGATTGTTACCACTACATCTCCTTTTCTAAGTCAAATATTTATTAGGCTTTTTTTTTGGGGGGGGGAGCCCAGTGGTAGAGCACTGCCTTAATATGCATGATGGGTTAAGAAAAAAGTTACAGAAATGTAGATCTGCACATAGTAACAGTGGAAAGCAATCACAGTCTATATTACTATATCATATGCCTGCTGCAAATGGAGGGAAGCTTTTGAAAAGCTTTTTCTGAAATGTAATATACATGCAACAACTGGACGTCTTTTGAGTGGATGACTCCATGTTAAGGTTTACAAGGGTACTACATGTACAGCAGTACCTACAACACTCACCCCAAAGCCCCCTTGGGCCATTTCCAGCCACAAACCCACAAGGACCAACCATGCTATGTGAGCACTGATCACATAGATTATTAATTTACTTTGTGTTATTAGAATGGGATGATGGCATAGGTATTTGTATGTCTGAGTCTATCCACATTATGGAATGAAATCGTAATTTATTTCCTCTCTTTGCCATGTAGGATTTACTTCTCCTTTCCATGGCTGATAGGTATTTGGGTGGTTTCCAGTTTGGGACTTGGCAAATAGTGCTGTGCTAAGCATTTTTGAGTGTGGCTTTGGACATGCTTTTCTGAAGGGAGTAGAAATGCTGAGTCGAGGCTTGTGTTCCGTTTTGGTAGTATATTAGTTTTCTGTTGCTGCCGTAACAAATTATGACACACTG